CTCCCTCTCTCTCTCTCTCTCCCCGCTTCTCTCTCTTTCTCTCTAATTTTTTCCTGCCTCACCCCTCTCTGAAATGCGTGTATATAGATGCCAACACTGTAAACAACTAATTGGCAGTTAAGCATATCTTGAGGTATAAATTGGATGTTCTTTAACCTTTAGAGGTTTATATTAGAAGCATACCAATTTGTTTTAAGTCTCTAATATCTTAGTTCCGAATATACATTTTTAGTGGAAAAACCTGCTTTAGGTCTTTTTAAAAGTAGCTGTGTCTCTTAGCTGTTACTCAAATAAATTCCAGTGACATAAATAAGCCAAAGTGATGATTATATCCTTTGGAGATCAGTAAGGCTTATGACATGGTTTCAGTTTTTTGAAATTTCAAAGAATAAACCTTTTAAAATTAATGAACCTTTAGGATTTTGTAGAGTGGGAATTAGGGCACTCATTGTAAAGTTTTTGACAAGTTCTGAGCATTAAAATTCAAACTAGGGATTATTAGCAGTTATATCCAGGTTTTGACATGGAGACACTTTTGCTCCATGTAATATTTATATACATATATATTTTTATCGTTGGTTTTCAGATGTTCTTTGAGCAGGAGATTATGTGGAGTGTATACATAATGATAACTATTATTATGTCTAGATTATTAAAAAGAAAGTATATTTAATTTTTCATTTTAGCTATAAGAGGCAACAATTTTATGAATAATGTTGAATAAAACAGGAATGGGAATTATATGAAGAGCTCTAATAAATATAATATCAATGAATATTACTTATCAAATCATTTAATATAATTAATGTTCAATATTATATTTTCTTATTATAAAAGTACATTGTTAAGAATTTGTAAGACTTTAGAGAATATCTATTATGGTTCAGACTCTTTGGCAGGTATTTAACACACAAAGATAAATAATACATTCTTACAACTGAGGAATTTATAATTAGTGCCAGAGAGTCACATGTTAGTAACGGGCAATACTAAGAGATGTGTACATAGCAATATGGAGTCATAGAAGTGTTGTGACTTATTCTGCTTGAAAAAGTGACAAGTCAAGAATGTCTTCACAGAGGGGATGACATTTGATCTGGGTATTAAAAAAGTTAGGGTGTTTAATGCAGAGAAATAAAGATACTCTAAATACTATGACCAACATGTAAAATAACAGAGCTATAAGAAAAGCATGGCCTGTTCAGAGAAAATTTAACATGATTCGAATAAAGGTACTTGAGAATAATTGGTTTGGATACTCCCTAGAAACACTCCACATCATTTAAGTGAGACATGCTTTTATGAAAGAATTAATAGAAAGCAATAAACAGTGTTTAAGACAAATAACCTGATGGGTATGAGTACTTTTAAGAAGAAAATGGTTGTTGTACAACTTAGAATGTAGAAATAATTTACTGTCAGGTCAGTGAATTTAGCATAATTAAATGAAGTATTTTATACTATAGGCCCAGGAACTATAATAGGATTTAACAACTCACCAGAAGTGCCTTGGACCTTGGCAAGTTCAGGGGCAACTGAACTGATTATCAACAAAGTAATGCTAAACAGCCTAAAGGAAAAATGTTATGATGTTGGGTTCTGGAGTTAGACAGAGTGGCTTCTCTAAGCAGCTGTTTCCTCTTATTTTGAATGAGGAGAGAATAATAGTACCTACCTCACAGAGTTGTCATGAAGATTAGGTGTGATCAACATGCAAAGCTCTCAGCCAGTGCTCAGCATATGGCAAATGCTCAGTGAATGTAATATTAATATATTATTAATATGAATAAGTTTTAGCGTTTGACAAAACTTTCAAACTACATGAATATGTTATTATCGCTATTGGTTTCATGCTTGTTCTAAATAGTATTTCATTTAATTATTGAGGGATTAATATGGCCCTAAGCATCTTTATGGACAATTTCCCTAAGAATATCTCACAGCTCCTCGTGGGGGCAAGAAGGGGTGGGGAGACAGACACATAAACTAGTAGTTACAATATTCTAATTTAAGTGCAATGGATATTATATTAAAATATTGAAAAGATCAAATAAAGGTGCAATTAACCATATCTTGAGCACAAGAAACTACCAACTTTATCATACAGGATTTACATGAAGATGTAAAAAAAAGTATAAAAAATTGATCATGACTATGGACAATTATAATGACTGGCAGTCTTCATATGCTCATTTATACATCTACTGATCGTAGGGTAGAATTTTCACAATTAGCTAAGACCAACAATACTTTTGACATCACTCTCCAACAGGTTCACCAATTCCATGGGCTAGAAGAAATTAAAAATATAAATGTGTTTTGCAATCACTCAGCGACTATTTTTTAAAAGAGTACCTATTTAATATGTATGGAAAATATCATAAAATATTAAATATACATGCACTCCACAGTTATTTCCATGATCTAATACCACAATGTTAAAACTGGATTTGAACTTCTACAAAGATTTCCTCACAATGTTTTTTGTTGCAAGATTGATAATTCCAAAATGAAACCTTGCCATGGCTTAATTTCATTTTAAATGTATGCTTCTCCCATCAAAGTTCCTTTCATCCTGAAACATATTTGTCATTTTAGGGACTTATTTTAATTTCCAGGAGTAAAATTTTTGTGACTTTAAACCATCTTTTGAGAAAGAAAAAAAAAATCTTTCTCTTTATTTTTATACCATTATGAAGAAAATAAATGTAGCAGATAAAATTAAAAATCAAATATTGTAGATATACATAACTAATATATTTTGGGGTAACATTGTAGCTCCATAAATAAGTAATCAACATATCATAACTTAAAGACTATGCAAAAATAGATTAATTAAACATGGTTAAATAGTAAAAATATTTAAAAAGTTAAGTATAGAGCTAAGGCTGTCAACTATGTACTTATATTTAGGAGGAAAAAAAGAACACCAAATCCAACAAGAAAAATAAAGATAATTATGGCATTCTGCTAATGCTATGCTCAGAGCAGAGCAAAAACCTAAAAGCCTTGTCAGAGATATTATTTTTTTTTTTTCTATCAGTGGAGTTCCATCTATGCACACAGGTAAAATGTTAGGATTCTTTATACCCTAGAAAAATTACCCCTTTGGATCCTACCCCTTTTTTCTTTATATAAATGTGTATAAAACATTCATATCATAATGTATTGATATTTATATTACTAATTTTTACATTTATAACATTAATTCAAAATATATTCAGACATTGTTTTTATTTTCTTATAATGACAGCTTCAGATTTATTACTTTGTAGTTAATAAAATCTCAAGTTGTAAATGCTGTTCTAAATTTATCGAGGGGTGATTCTATTTTCATATCATTGAAAGCTCAATATAATGAGAATATAAATTTTTAACTTGTGGTAAATAGGAAACAGTTTGAAACAGTTTCTATGATTTTTAGTTGAGCAAAGAAAGTCAGGAAGATATTTTAACCTACAAGATAGCCTGGTTTCAGCTATTCCTTATGTGACTTGAATGACTCTTTTAGAAACATTCCAGTGTGTTAATATATCTTTTAAAATATGGTACTTTAACCTCTTCGCAGCAGTGTAAATGTAATCTGATCAGTGTTGTGTTGTGTGAGATCACTAACTTATATTTAGACCATTTCATATTGCTGTTCTCAACTAGGATTTCTAGACCTTTATCAGAACACCTATTTTTTATAGTTGGTATTTTAGGAAGTCGACATAAAACTTTACAATCATACCTGTTAAATACCAAGCACATCTACTAAGATTTTTATTGTTATCTGCATTCCACATATAAGCAGTCCTCCTCATTTTCATGCCTTTGGGATATTTGTTTCTTTTGCAACTATTCAAGATGTTCATAAAAAGTATTCCCCTAGTCAAATCATCAAAGAATTCTTTCCAAGTAGCTCTTTTTCAGTTATTAATCTGCATTAGTTTTATGCATTTTTATGAACAATTAGATATTTGTCTAACAGTACTGGTACTTGAAAGTCTATCTAGCACACCTAGGTAGCATGAAAGATTCTGTGTAATCAAATGTCTTTGAAATTAAATGTCCATTTATGTACATATAATTATTAATTTTCAGAGAATTTGAGCATAATAAAATATAATTAATATGAAACTCCACTCAAATACTTATTTATTATTCAAGATGTATTTCAGGAGTTAAGTGCAGCCAGTCACCTGAATATATACCAGATATCATTATACAGTACAAAAATATGATCGTCTTTTAAAAATTTTAAATTAGATTTTAGATTAATAAAACATTAGTGCTTTTTGTTTGTTTGCTAATTGGAACATACTGTTATAACTCTAACTCCAAAATTGTTACATATGCTTTTGTATATTTTATATACTTAATGTATGTTTCTAGTTAAATCTTACTACAAAAAATAAAAATACCATTCATTAAAATACATTATCAACAAATTAATAAAATTAAAGTTTATAAAAATATAATTGTATATTAAAATAAATATTCACTACACAAATACTATAATATTTCTATGGAAAAATCTGTGTTAATTCATAAATGCTCAAAAACTCATTATAAATTGCATTGAAGCTATAAATTTTAATGATTTTTTTTCCCAAGGAAAATTAAGCTGCTATAGTAATTCATTTTAATTCAGTCAAATTTATTTCTCTGAATTTTTTCATAAATGTAATATTTTTTACATGGTAAACATATTTATCTTTTTAGATCAGTGTAATATACAGCATACTTGTTGATCCAAATATGTAACAAACATAACAATTTTATAAGTTTTAAGAAGACAAAAATAAAAAAAACATTTTGAGTTTCTTTTATGTATGAAACATTTGCAAATTATAATTATTTTCAAACTGAATATTTACAGAGTCCTTTGTTCTATAAAATATAATGATTTAACCTTTGATGTCTGGAAGCTAGTTAGAAATTCTAGAGTAATTAAAGAGTTTCCAATCCCTCATGAACAATATAGACCTCTAATTAATAAAAAAGCGTGAGCAGTGAACAACATTTTTCAAATTCTAAAAATCCTTTGCTTTTAGACAAATAATTTTTGAACTTAGGTAGTAAATGCCAAATGAAAACTTATTTATTATTTTTTAAAAATAGAGACTAAGTTTTTTGCCTATGTCTTATGCTTAATCGGTGACTATTTTTCAGATGAATTCATAATATACTTTTGAACTTTGCCTCCACTTACAATGCATCAAAATTGAGAACAAGACGGGTCGATCTCCAACCTCACTGGAAAATCTATCATTGAAACACTAAAACGACATGATTACAAGGAAATCCCTTGATACAGTGACATTATGAGGTGAAAATGTATTCATAGTATTCCTGAGCACTTGGTGCTATAAATACTTTAATAATAGCCAAATGTGACTGTCTCTGATAATGCTAATGATAGATTCAGCACAGTTTAACGTGTATGGGATGTACATTACGGCACATATTTTGATTTTTCTTCTAGGTAAGGGAGCGACTGAGGGTTTCTTTAGAAAGAGTCTCTGCACTGGAAGAAGAACTAGCTGCTGCTAATCAGGAGGTAACATACCAAACTTTCTCCTCTTTTGAGGTGCAATATCGCTAACATTATATCCCTTGTGTTTCACGTCACTTTTATTAAAACTGTCAGAAAAATAAATTACATTCTGTATATGCCACTGAACGAGGCCTGTTGAAACTAGTTGCCAGAGTTATGTCTTCTCATTTCTGGTCATTCAGATCTGCCACTAAGAGATGAAAGGAAAATTATCAAGAGCTAGTGAGATGGGGATTTAGAAAGACTACAGTCAGAATGCCAGTCATTTTGAGAAGTAAAACACAGCTCCGAAATTGGAAAACATGCAAAATATCTGTTAAACTTAAAAATGTTACAAATCAAGTTCATTCCTTGGTGATATAAATATATTTCCCCTCAGGTCCTTACTGTTATCTTCTAAAAGCATTGTGCCCGTGTTTAGTGGCATCATTGAATCCATTTATATTACTGTCATTCATGATGCTAAGAAAGTATTTTATAATTATCTCTGAGTTTTAAAAAGTTGTTTTTCTTTAGAAGATTTTACTTCTTTTGGTTAGTGTACAAATGAACTTGGGTCATTAAAATATATATTAAAAATATATATAAATGTACACAACAAATTTAATCTGTGTAGGCCACTAAAATAGCCCTATCTCTCTCTCTCTCTCTTCCACACACACACACATATACACATTTTATTTACAAAGCAAATTCTTTGGAAGAAGCTTATTTCAGTAGTATAAATATTTTTATTACCAATAGTAGACAAACTAAAATAATTTAGCAAAATCTTCCTACTTTTAAATAATTAAAGAAGTAGAAAGTTAATGCAATTAATTATGTATTATCAAGGTATTCTTAACAAAATAATATTTACATTTGCATTACACACACACAAAAAATATACACATTTTCAAACCAGGCTAAAATTCTTATCCAGTACAAGATCCTCATTCTTTAAAATAAGCGAGGGCGATTGAGTAGTTTATATATGCTTTTCTTTGTTTCAGATTTAACAATTTAAGCTTTAGAAATAATAGACTTTTAACTACAGGAAGAACGAATTCCATTAATTAAAGGCTAGTAGTATTAAAAGCATAAATAGTGGCATAATCGTTTGAAAAAGATGTAGAGAGAAAGCTTTTTGGTAACCAGATCAGTTTAGCAAACTTGATGTTTCTAAAAAATAAAAAGTAAAAGATTGGTACCTCCCAGTCACTGTAGAAGAAAAGAAACTCTAAGATAATAGGTACTGACAAGAAAAAAACCCAGTCCCTTTATGAGACAGAATATATAAAATTATCTATAAAGTGACTGCTTATTACTGAGTGTTCAAGAAGAAAATTTTAAATGTTTATTCATTTTGTATTTTATCATTGTTAACTTTGATTATCATGTATGTTTACATTTATTTTCAGTAAATCCCTCAAAATAGTTTATTGATAAGTACAAGCAAAAAAAGGTTTGGGACCACTAATATGAAAGCCTTGCTTAGTATTGCAGTAATAAAATTTCTATTTGTCATAAACAAAGGTATAATGAGACCACTTGGCTGAAGTATTAACGCTGAAATAAAAATGTTCCATATATACAGGTGAAGTTCTGAAAATTTGCTCCAGAAATGGCAACTGAATAGTTCAATTACAGATAACATGGGATATCAGCACTTGAGAACAAAAGTGGAGAAACAATTTTTGACCATTGTCTTTATTACAGTTTTAGCCCTCAAATATTACTGTAGTCTCTTGTAGGCAATATGGTACATTTGATTGCTTGCACGTAGATTAAATACATTTTAATCATTAAAATGACTCTCAAAATATCGCAGCCTTTCTGAGTGCTTTTGTTTTGTTTTAAATGATTTATATAAATAAGAGAAAAGTAATTGTGCACTCATTATTAACTTCAATGTATTTGCTGTTGTTGATTGTAATTAATTTCCATGGAGCCTGACCTGAATTCCTACTTAGGTACACATCCAGTTAAAAACTAACTGGCACAGATCCAGTTAAAAACTAACTAAATTAAAAGGTACCTTAATTTTCTAATAATAAATTGTTTATAAATAATTAGTGATTTTTAAAGAAAGTAAATAGAAAAAGTCAGCTTTTACTTCATAATGCAATTTATAATGAAATACTAAAAATAACATCAGAAGACACCTACAATTTGAGTTCTTGATTCTCTATAGTAACAGTAATAGGTACAAAAAAATTTTGTAAGTAAACCATCATTTATTGATAATAACAAGATACATTTAGAAACCTGACAAATCAGTTTAGAAAAATCCATACTATTGGCAGCTTTAACAAGGGGAACTCAATGAAATTTGAATATTAGAGGAAGTAATTGAAGAAGATATTTTAGAAATAAAGAGAAAATTTTTATTAAAAAAAGAGAAAGTTATTTAAGAATACATTCTTAAGAGTCAAATAAAATTATATAAGATAGACAAAAATAATCAGTTACAAAATTTCTGCATGTGGCTAAATGAGTCAGGGGTTGGGGAAATTTTCATTTGATACTTCAGACTTTAAATTAAAATTACAGTGTATTTACAAGCGTCCTTTATAATTCAAATCTATTTGTTTCCTGAGTTCATATAGTAAGCTTAGAGAGTAAAATATTAATAACGTAAATAATATACTCTATTAATACATATATAATGATATATATTACATGGACCTATAATATACCACTGAGAACCTCTTCAGTCTTAACCTACAAATCCAGCTTTAACTCCTACTAGCCCTCACTGAGTCATTTCTAAGTTCCTGTTAAATTATAGGATTCATTATTTTTGAAAGCAGCCAACATTTTTCTTGCCTCTAAATCTTATTTATGCTAATGTTTCTCTTGGAATGCCTCCACAACTCCAATTCACCCACTGAAATTATACTTCCCCATTTAAACTAAAGTTCAGACATCACCATAATTTTAATGAGCTATTTAATGATTTCTTGCCAACAGTCATTGCTCCTTAGTTTAAGTTGCTAGAGCTTATTGCTTCAGCATTTATTATGACTTTTCAACAAGTTTTAGGGTTAATTATATACCTGCTTAAGCCTAGGTTGTTAGTTCCTGAGAAAATGGACTGCATCTTGCTCATTTGTATTTATCTCACTCAGTACAGTGATATGAACCTTGTGATCAATATATACTTGTCAAATTTTATTGCATAGAGTTTGTTCTGACCAGTGTTTGCACATTGTTCCTTGGCTGTTCCCTTAATAGAGAATTTGAACAACCTTAGTCAAGCTCAATAAAGAGTAATACATTAATCATATGCATCAAATGAATAAAATGTGTGTTCTTTCAAAATATAATTATTGAGTAACTACCATATGCAGAAAATTCTGTGAGTATCTGACAGGAGGAGTAGGAAAAAATAAAATGATAAATGAAACTTTATGTAAATTTTTATGTAATTTGCTCTCAACCGATGGAGATGAACATATAAAGACAAGTGAATCGCAATGTAGTGCAAAACTAAATAAATGCAAAATAGAGGCCCAACCAAAATACACAAGAGCAGAGAGGAGAAGCATATTTATTCTGAAACAAAGGATTAGAGAAGTCTTCACCCTTGAAGGAAAACTATGATTTGACTTCAAAACTGGGGGAAAACATTTCAGATTGAGCAGACAGTATGATTAAGAAAACCTGAAATTAATTGTTTCAGGAATAATGGCTGATGTTGCATTGGTAAGAATCAGGGTGTGAAAAGGTGTAGATGTGAAGAGGGGAGAGGTTGATTTTAGAGGGCCCTGAATGCCATGTTCAAAATCAGAATTCATACTTTATAAAATGAGAAAGCAGTGAAGGTATAATTTTTTGTTGTTGTTGTTGTTGTTTGTTTGTTTGTTTGTTTATGGTGAACTGAACACCACTGAGAGTATATTCTATTTTTGTTTTCTTTTTGTAAAGTGTTAGGCTAGATGGGAATAAAGCTTCAAAGCTGACATAATCTGATATGGCTGGCTGGCAAATTAATCTGTAATTTTCATCATGACACTTTAATTTAACAAATATTTTATTATGTATATTTTGTTTGTCAGTCATTGTATTAAGTACTGAATATAAACATATAATAATAAAACTCATACTAATAAACCAATAGTTCTTTGCCATCTAGTATGGGAGATAGACATGGTAGAAAGTAATTATAAAGGAGAGTTAGTATTTAATGGGAGTGGAGTTTCAGTTCAGGAAGATGAAAAAAGTTCTGAAGATGAAAGTGATGTTTCCATAACAATGTAAACATCACTGAACTGTATACATAAAAATAGTTAAAATGTTAAATTTTATGTTAGGTACATTTTACCACAAAAATGTAATTATAAACATTATCACTAATGTGAAAATGAAAGTAGGTATAAGGTTTAATAGTATTACAAAAGAGAGTAATTAATTGTATGGGCATGAATGAGGAAAAACAGCTGGTGTTAAAAAAATCTTCCAAAAGAGATCATACTATTTGCAACAACATGGATGAATCTTGAGGAACTTACACTAAATGAAATAAGACAGACAGAGAAAGACGAATACTGTATGACCTCACTTATATATAGAATGTAAAAATGTCAGATTCATAGACACAGAGTAGACTAGTGGTTGCCAGGGGCTGAGGAGTTGAGGGAAATGGGGAAATACGATCCAGATCAAAGGATGCAAACTATCAGTTACAAGATGAATAAGATTAAAGGCTCTTATTAGGGGATCTAATGTATAGCACAGTGAACAGAGCTAACAATATTGTGTCTTATACTTAAATTTTGCCATGAGAATAGATCTTAAATGTTCTCACCACCAAAACAGAAAAAAAGAAAAAGTAACTATGTGAGGTGAAGGATGTGTTAACTAACACTGTGATAATCCTTTCAAAATATATACATATATCAAGTCACCTCATTTTACATCTTAAACTTACACAATATTATTTGTCACTTGTATTTCAATAGAGCTGAAAAAATATTTTTAAAAACTTTCTGGAGAAAAAAAAATTACCAAGAATCTCAAGG